TTTTTGAGTCGGAGTCTCATTCTGTTGCCCAGGCTGGAGTTCAATGGCATGCTCACAGCCACCACAGCCTTGATCTGCTGGGCTCAGGCGATCCTTCCGCCTCAGCCTTGAAGTAGCTAGAACTACAGGCTTGTGCCACCACACCTGGCTAGTTTTTTTATTTATTGTAGAGGTAAGGTCTTGCCATGTTGCCCAGGCAGGGCTCAAAGCTGTGGGCTCAGGTAATCACCTTGCCTCCGCCTCCCAAAGTGCGGATTACAGGTGTGAGCCACTGCACCCAGCTCTGTCTTTGCTTATTGAGTGGTAAGAAGATGTTAGAAAGTGGCTCAGCTATCATATCTGTGGCCAGGTGAGGGCAAAGTGTCTCCCTCCCACATTCCTGCCTTCATGAGCCATCTGCCTAGCCCCATTTCTGTCCCAGTCTCTGACAGAGCTTCCTCTCTGACCATTTCTCCTGGAGGGCTGTAGGTATTCCCAGCCCTATAAGTTCTCAGGAGAGTTCAGAATTCTTTTGCCAAATCTGATCCCTGGCCATGGCCTGGCTACCTCCATCTGCCCAGTTGCCTCTCTCCTCCTGCATATCCAGAGAACCCCCAGCTTCTGCAGTTTCCCCCTCCATGAGCAGGCTCAGTTTCCTTTCCTGCATTTGCTGCTATACCAGTCATCAGCCCTTCTTTTGCCTTTGCTGCCTCACACTCTCAGGTAGGCGCTCAGCCTCCAGCCTCCTCTGCCCGTTGGTCTGCTGTCCTCAGGTCTGGGGATGTTTCTTCATATCCCCTAGCTCGTCAAAACCTATTGCTCTCAGGCTCGTGTTCACAGTTCTTGGCCTGATGTTGAAGGCTCTTGCCTCATTTGACCCCTCACTTCCTTTCTAACCAAAGCCCTTCCCACAGCCTCTTCTGGAGTCTGCTGACAGCTTATCCCCATGGCCTCTTCTGGAGTCTGCTGGTGGCTTATCCCCAAGCATACAGGCTGCTGCTTCATGCTTATGTCTCTCTGCTCATTCTTTTTCAGCTTTCTGGAATCTTTTGTATTGACTCTCATCCAGAGTAAGCTCAAATGCCACCTCCTACAGGGAGCCTTCTCAGGCTATCCCATGTTATATAGGTCCCATTCCCTTCTGCAGGGTTTCTAGTCTTGGGTATTTATTTATTTATTTTTATTTGTTTATTTTGAGTTGGAGTCTCACTACCTGTCGCCCAGACTGGAGTGCAGTGGCCGCTCCCAGCCACCGCAGCCTCGACCTGCTGGGCTCCGGCGATCCTTCCGCCTCAGCCTTCCGAGTAACTGGAACTACAGGCGCGCGCTACCACACCCGGCTAATTTTTTTTGGATTTATTGTAGAGATGAGGTCTCGTCTGCCCAGGCGGGTCTCGAACCCGCGGGCTCAGGCAATCCACTCACCTCAGCCTCCCAAAGGCACGGGATTACAGGCTGAGCCACCAAGCCCGGCTTAGTCTTGGGTATTTAATAAGGAAAATGCTGTACTGAAATGAGCTTGCGTGTCCTCTGAAAGCCCCCTATGAAACTGACAGGAGCTCCTTCTCTGCTCAGATCTCACTAGGGGAAGGACTCATCACAGCTGGGGCCCAGTTGGTGGAGCTGGACCTAAGTGACAACGCATTTGGACCTGATGGTGTGAAAGGCTTTGAGGCCCTGCTCAAGAGCTCAGCCTGCTTCACCCTGCATGAGCTCAAGCTCAACAACTGTGGCATGGGCATTGGCGGCGGTAAGGTGGGTGCAGCAGCCCTCTCCCCACCTTCCCTGTCGAATCCCCTGCTACCTCCACATCTGTCTGAAGTGTGTGCCCTCTGGGATGGTTGGCCTTTCATATTCAAAAGAGAAGGTCCTCAAAGGCAGCAGTCTGTGGCCAGTGGGATGAGAAGTCTGTGAGGGTAGGGTTGCCAAGCAACCATCCCAAGTTCTTGGGTAGCCTTGGCAATAGGGAGGCAGTACTGCTGCATACCTGCTCTGACCTGCTGGCTCTGCAAAACGCAGGGGCATCCCTACATCTACAATTCTCTCAGAGCAGCTGACTGAGCCAGAGCGAGGCCTGGTGCACATGCAGTGGGGAAGTCCAGAAAGAAAAACATGCACTCAGGGAGGCATGGTCATAGTTCACCTTCATTCCTGGACAGGGCCTTGGCCTGGAGTGCCGCCCCTCCTGCTGGCACGTCAGGCTGGTCAGTACAGAAAGGAGCTTCTTTGCTTCTTTGGTTGCCAAGCCAACTCAAAAATTAGGATGGTTACTTGGCTTCTCAGAACGTGCCCCAATGGAGGCCAGAACAGTTTATTCTCTTCTAGCTCCATCCCAACCCCTTTAGACCCAGGATAGAGAAACACTGAGAGTCAGTCTTCATGAGCCACACATACATATATTCTGACTAAAGGGAGAAAAGAGCTGGGGACACAAGGAACTAACAGCAATTAGGGACTTTCTTTTTTTCCTGAGCTGGAGTCTATCGCCCAGGCTGGAGTACAGTGGCACACTCATGGCCACCGCAGCCTCAACCTGCTGGGGTCAGGTGATCCTTCCACCTCAGTCTTCCAAGTAGCTGGAACTACAGGCATGTGCCACCATGCCTAACTAATTTCTTTCTTTCTTTCTTTCTTTTTTTTTTTTTTGAGTTGGAGTCACTCCGTCTCCCAGACTGAAGTGCAGTAGCATGCTCCTAGCCACCGCAGCCTCAACCTGCTGGGCTCTGGCAATCCTTCCGCCTCAGCCTTCCAAGTAGCCCTAACTACAGGCACGTGCTACCATGCCCCGCTAATTTTTTGATTTATTGTAGAGATGAGGTCTCGCCAATTTGCCTAGACGGGTCTCGAATCCGCAGGCTCAGGCAATTCACTCACCTCAACCTCCCAAGGCACAGGATTACAGGCTGAGCCACCGAGCCCGGCTTAATTTTTTTTTTTAATTGTAGAGACAAGATCTGGCCAAGTTGCCTGGCCTGGTCTCGAACCCTCAGGCTCAGGCAATCCACTCACCTTGGCCTCCCAAAGTGCTGGAATTACAGGCTGAGCCACCTAGCCTGGCTGCCCAGCTAATTTTTTGATTTATTGTAGAGATAAGGTGTTGTGAAGTTGCCTAGGCTGGTCTTGAACCCTTGGGCTCAGGCAGTCCTCTCACTTTGGCCTCCCAAAGTGCTGGGATTACAGACATGAGCTACTGCTCCCAGCTGGGGACATCTTTTTTTTTTTTTGAGTTGGAGTCTCACTCTGTCGCCCAGACTGGAGTGCAGTGGCCACTCCCGGCCACTGCAGCCTCGACCTGCTGGGCTCCAGCAATCCTTCCGCCTCACCCTTCCGAGTAGCTGGAACTACAGGCACGCGCTACCACGCCCGGCTGATTTTTGATTTATTGTAGAGATGACGTCTTGCCACGTTGACCAGGCGGGTCTCGAACCCGGCAATCCACTCACCTCAGCCTCCCAAAGGTGCAGGATTACAGGCTGAGCCACCAAGCCCAGCTGGGACATCTTTTTGAATATGCATTTCTTTAGTTTTTCCCACCCACACTGAAAGGTAGGTGGTGCTATCCCCATTTTTCCACATGAGTCAACTCAGGCTTAGTGAGGTGGGGTGGAGCAGATCACATGACTAGTGTGGGATCCTGTGGGCTCCAAGCCTTCACCCCTGGGCTTCGTTCAGAGCAGCACAAGAGTCGTGAGGCTTGCAGAGCCTTAGACTGGGAACTCAGAGTGGCATCCCCCAAAGAGGGTACTATCACCCTCTGCCCAATGAAAGGGCCAGCAGGGGCAGGCTCTGTGCTTGTCTCAGCCAGCCCTTCCCCAGTCTAATTGGGCAGTAAGCTGTCCCTGTGTTAAGATATCATAGTGTTTATGTCAGCACAGAAAACGGGTGCAGCCCAACCTAGGGTGAGTGGGTTGTGCTGGGAGAGCTGGAAACACTATTTTCTTTTTTTTTTTTTTTTTTTTTGAGTTGGAGTCTCACTCTGTCGCCCAGACTGGAGTGCAGTGGCCGCTCCCGGCCACCGCAGCCTCGACCTGCTGGGCTCTGGCGATCCTGCCGCCTCAGCCTTCCGAGTAGCCGGAATTACAGGCATGTACTACCATGCCCGGCTGATTTTTAAAAATTTATTGTAGAGATGAGGTCTCCCCAAGTTGCCCAGGTGGTTCTCGAACCCGCGGGCTCAGGCAATCCACTCACCTCAGCCTCCCAAAGGCGTGGGATTACAGGCTGAGCCACCGAGCCTGGCTTCTTTCTTTCTTTTATTTTATTTTTTTAATTGGAGTCCCACTCTGTTGCCCAGGCTAGAGTGCAGTGGCATGCTCACGGCCACTGCAGCCTCAACCTGCTGAACTCAGGCGATCCTTCTGCCTCAGCCTTCCAAGGAGCTAGAATTACAGGCACTTGCCACCAAGCCTGGCTAATTATTTTTGATTTATTGTAGAGACAAGGTCTCGCCAAGTTGCTCAGACTGTTCTCGAACCCCTGAGCTCAGGCACCTCTCACCTTTTCCTCCCAAAGTGCTAGGATTACAGACTTGAGCCACCATGCCTGACTGTGCGCAGTTTCATGTCAGGAGTCAGGCTAAGCTGTAGCAAGTACAGCACTGTTGAGTATTTGTGTGACCTTGGCTAACTCATTTCTCTGAGCCTTAGCTTCCTTGCTTGTAAAGTAAAGCTAATCTCGCCTGCCTTCCAGGCTAGTTTTGCAGTTGAAATGAGAAAGCCTGAAAGTACCTTGATGGGAGTGCTTAGGACCTAGTAGGTACTTTGTGTTACTTTTCTCCTATATGCACTTGCTTGACTCTTGTGTCCTGTCCACCATGGGCTGTGATTCCCACCAACCAGTAAGCATGCTAAATGCTTTGCCTATTGGCATAACTGGGGTGAAGCTACCTCCTGGCACTATACCAAGGACAGGGCAAGGTAGGTTTTAGGTTTTTACCTCCAGCAGGTGAGTCCCTGATGGGCCTTGCTGGCTTGGGCATGTACCAAATGGGTCCATCTGGGCTGTGGCCTCAATGGCCAACTCCCTTGGGCATCGTAGCATATGGAAGTGAAGCTGGATGAATCGGCTCTGGTCCAGAGTCTATCGCTCAATAACCATAAGAAGTTTTCTGTTCCTCTCTGAGCCTGAGTTTCTTCAGCAGGAAAATGGGAGTTATATTCACACCTAGAAGAGGGCTCTTGACCATAAGGTGAGCTGATGAGGCAGTCCCTCCCCTGCATCTGGCTTAAAATCAGTCCATTCAGTGTGGTCTCTCCCTTCACTTAGTTGGACTCTGTCTCCCTGTCTTGAAGGTGAGGCTATACCCCACATCTAGTGTGACATAAAGCAGTAGACATAAAAGCCCTTTGCAAACTATAAAGGGTCAGGCACGCATAAAATGTGACCATTGTGTTTGTAGCAGTTCTGTGTCCCCCTACCTACCACTAGGGTGGCGTGGGTGCTGAAGAGCGGTTTGGAAGCAGTGACTGCCCAGCTGGGAGAAGGGCCTCCTGCCCATAACATGGGCCCTTCGCCTTTCCCCACAGATCCTGGCGGCGGCTCTGACTGAATGTCACCGGAAATCCAGTGCCCAAGGCAAGCCGCTGACCCTGAAGGTTTTTGTGGCTGGCAGAAACCGATTGGAGAATGACGGAGCCACAGCCTTGGCAGAAGCTTTTGGGGTGAGTGGTTCTGTTCATCCTGCCCCACCGGGCCCTGAGGCACATTTGACTTAGCAGGCCAACAGTTCTGGATGTGAATCCTAGTGGCACCACTTAGCTGAGAGACCTCAGGTAAGTTGCTTCCCCTCTCTGAGGCTGTTAGCTCATCTTAAGGAATTCCTGTCATGCGTGTCTGGAAAGGTGCATGATCTGCCCCCTCAGGTTAGTTGGCAGCAACTCCCCATGAGACTTGGGGTAGGGCAGGCTGCTCTGTTCAGGGCATGCCTTCTGCCAGGCTCAGAAGTAATGGAGCCAGAGAGGCGTGAGTGCTGATGGTAGTCTGGCAAGCCCCTGGTGCATGAAGCACAAAGGAACATACAGGTTCCCTAAGACAGGGAGACAAGCAAGAACAGCTGTGGGGCCACATTCCAGATGAGGTGCCTAAGAGTGACTTTGTCCCCTGCTTCCCCTTTACTCTCCCTGTCCCCCCAGGACACTGCCAAGTCCCTCGCAGTGAGTGTCAGGAGAGACCACACCAGCCCCCACAGGACTGGGAGCTTTGGGGTCTGCCCCTGCCTTCTTGTAATTTAAATGTAGTGAACAGGATTCTAGCAGCATTACCCATACTCAGGCCAGAGTGGCACCCACAGTCCTGCTGCATGGAGTGGCCTGCTCTCAGAAGTTGCCTTTAGAAACTCCTCGCCTGCCTCAATGGGGGGCGGACATTGCAGAGTTCTGCTTTGTGTCCCACTGGGCTCTGGCTGCAGGCGAGCTTCTGCCTCCCCCTCTGGTGCTAGATGAAGCCTAATTGCCGTCCTCGGGTCCCCTTCAGTACACTAGGAGAGGGGGTACGCTGGGGTTGTGCTGAGCCTTTGTAACGTGTCCTCAGGTGTGCTTAGAATGGGGTGCTTACCCCGGGTTCTGCAAGATCCCACCAGTCTGTGGATAGAATTCATGGATGGGGATAAAAACTGCATCATTATCATCTCTAATATAACTAAAATATGCAGTATGGCCTTTGATATGAATGTAGACAACAAACCATAGCAATGTTAGAATGTCCTGTGACTTTGTTACCAGTAGAAATCACAGATATTTCATAGCAAGTTAGAGTCATTGCAGATATATAGAAATACTTGTTTCTCTAAGCCGAGCTCGGTGGCTCAGCCTGTAATCCCGCGCTTTGGGAGGCTGAGGTGAGTGGATTGCCTGAGCCCGCAGGGTTCGAGACCCGCCTGGGCAACTTGGCGAGACCTCATCTCTACAATAAATCAAAAATTAGCCGGGCGTGGTAGTGCGCGCCTGTAGTTCCAGCTACTTGGAAGGCTGAGGCGGAAGGAT